AGAGAGAGAGAGAGAGAGAGAGAGAGAGAGAGAGAGAGAGAGAGAGAGAGAGAGAGAGAGAGAGAGAGAAGAGAGACAACAAAGGGACCCCTTCACATCAATTCGAGGACCCCTGCAGGTACCCCGAATGCCTCTTTTTTTTTTTTTTTTTCGGTTGCCAGGGGTGCTGATGAGTGCAGACACCGCTAGCACCATTGGGGAGACTCCAGCAATAGATGGAGCCACCCCGAATGGCCCCTACACTCCATGGGGAGCCACTGAGGACCACTACCCTAATAAGAAGAATGGCCTCGTCATGAATGGCACGAATGGGCAGACCACCAATATATGCTGTGATATGCTGTGGATTCGAGTTCAGGCCTGTAACTCGGCAGTTATGGGTCCCCAATTCAGCTAGACCCTGTTCGTGTCTCCACGTGATACTCAGGGACTCCCTCCCCCGCTCACCAAATGTATATAATATTAGTAATGAATCTTCTGCTAAAACATGGAACCATACACCGCCATATACTATGTCTTTTGTGCATGTGGTGAGTAGTGGTGCAGGCCCCGCTCTACGTATTTGTAACAAAACAAAAATTTATGTATATAATATTAAGAGAATGAATCTTCTGCTGAAACATGGAACCATACACCGCCATATGCTATGTCTTTTGTGCATGTGGTGAGTAGTGGCGCAGGCCCCACTGTACGTATTTCTAACAAAACAAAAACAAAAAAAACGAGAGAGCTACGGGCATCTTCATCCTCTCTCCCCCACTCACCAAATGTATAACATTAGAATGAATATTCTGCTAAAACATGGAACCATACACCGCAATATGCTATTTCTTTAGTGCATGTGGTGAGTAGTGGAGCAGGCCCCACTGTACGTATTCGTAAGAAAAAAAAAACAAAAAAAAAACGAGAGAGCTACGGGCATCTTCATCCTAACCCATAACTACAGACATGCAGACCTGAACGCCAATCTTCGGCATATATTGGTGGTCGGCGTGGAATATGCAGGTTGTGCCTTCTGCGAGGCTTCGCGGGGCAGGTCGTTATTAGGCGCCTACCCCCTTCTTGCGAAGCTAACCCATCACTGTGTGGGTTTTGCAGAAGGGAGGGGGAAGGTCAGTTTCCATTCCCTGCCAAAAGAAAATTGGAATGCGCCCTATTTTGTGCTTTGCCGTTTTGAAACTTTTGGGGGCAGGGCCCGCTGAAATCGAAATTTGGCAGCCCTTGCCCCAGAAAAAATTCGAGCTGGGGGCGCGGCCGGTTTCCGAGCTCGCGCGGTGAGTTTAACATTTTTGCCGAGTTGGGGGCCCTAAGAAATGACAAAACCCCTGCTTTTTTTTTTTTTTTTTTTGGACCTAATTTTTCCAGTGCGCTGCGCTTCGGTGCGCTGTGCGGTGTGGTGCGCGTGGTGCGCAATTTGTGCGCAAACCCGCGCACCGAGGTGCGCTGCAACTATGGATTTGATTGATTGATTGATTGATTGATTGAGTGTGATTGTGTGTGTGTGTGTGTGTGTGTGTGTGTGTGTGTGTGTGTGTGAGAGAGAGAGAGAGAGAGAGTTTGCGTGCGCATGTGTGTGTGCTGTGTGTGTATGTGTGTGTGGGCGTGCGGGAGCGTGCGGGAGCTGCGCGGGAGCATGCGGGAGCGTGCGCGCGCACGCACGAGAGAGAGAGAGAGAGAGAGAGAGAGAGAGAGAGAGAGGTGCGTGTGTGTGTGTGTACGTGTGTGCGTGTGTGTGTGAGTGATGTGTGTGTGTGTGTGTGCACGCGGGAGCAGGAGCGTGCGCGGGAGAGAGAGAGAGTGAGAGAGAGGGAGCGTGCG